TCTACAGAGCGAGATCCAGGACAGGAACCAAAACTATATGGAGAAACCCTGTCTCAAAAAAAAAAAAAAAAAAAAAAATGAAGGAAGGGGGCTGGAGAGATGGCTCAGAGGTTAGGAGCACTGACTGCTCTTCCAGAGGTCCTGAGTTCAATTCCCAGCAACCACATGATGGCTCACAACCATCTGTAATGAGATCTGGTGCCCTCTTCTGGCCTGCAGACATACATGCAGGCAGAATACTGTATACATAATAAGTAAATAAATCTTAAAAAAAAATGAAGGAAGACTGGAGAAAAAGGAAAAGCATCCCACATTCATGGACTGGAAAGACAGTACGTTAGGAGTGCAATACTCCTAGGCTGGTTTACATGGGCAACTCTGTCTTCATCAAGACCTCACACAACTTTTTGAAGAAACTGACAAGACAATACCAAATTTTTAGTAAAAATGCAAGGAATTGCTGTAAGAATGGAAAACAGAGCTGACACCTTAGAAGACAGTTTGGTAGTCTTACACATCTAAACATACTCTTACCACACAACCCAGCAGTTTGGCTCCCTTGCATTTTCTCCAATGAACGGAAAAACTTGTATGTACACAAAAACTCGTAAAGGAACTGGGTCAATGGCTGCAAGTCTGTAATCGGAGCTGCTGAGAAGGCTGAGTCTGGAGGATCACAGGCCTGCATGGGCTGCAGCCGGGTTCAAAGCCAGTCTGGGCAACATAGTGAGACCCTGTCTCAAAAAGTAAGAGCAAAGGGACTCGGCTATTGCACACATCCACTCAACAGCAGCTATGGCTACCTGCACAAGACCCAGACAAGATTAAGCCAGTCAGCCGGGCGGTGGTGGCGCATACCTTTAAAACCAGGGCTCGGGAGGCAGAGGCAGGAGGATCTCTGTGAGTCTGAGGCCAGCCTGGGTTACAGAGTGAGATCCAGGAAAGGCACAAAGCTACACAGAGAAACCCTGTCTCGAAAAACAAAACAAACAAACAAACAAAAAGATTAAGCCAGTCAAGATTCCAGCATGGATGGAGGAGGGGCTCCCAAGGCCTCCCCCAACCCCCACCCTGCCGATGAGCTATCGACAACAATGTCTGCTAAGGGAGTGAGAGTCACTTTTCCTTGGGGATGTGGCCACTGGTAGGTTGATCACGCCTCACTGGGTGGCCCCATTCTCATGCGCAAGTTTTCAGGACTGATTGGACTCCACGGATGGAATATTAATTTTCAAAAGAAAAAAAAAAGAAATGAAATTGGGAGGGGAATGTGCTGAGGGTTCTTGGAGGGGAGCTGGAAAGAACTACTGTGGGATGGACGTAATCAAGATATGTCATATACACATTTGAAAATTTCAAAGAATAAATTTAAAATATTATTAAATAAAATAAAACAAAAGTAAAAAGAGTGCTGAGGCTACAGTGGAGCACTTGCCTAGTTCATGTGAGCTCAGTCATTAGTACTGCACACACAAAACTCAGCAACAACCCAACAGAACCAAACAAAGAAACTTGTGCATGGATGGTTATAGCAGGTTTCCCTACATTAACTAAGGAAATTTGCAGGCAACCAATATACCCCTCAGTAGATGGATGGTAGATGGATGAGTTAACCATAGTACTACCAGACAACGGAATATTTTTAGTGTTAAAAATAAATGGCCAGAGAAGCTGAAGAGATGGCTCAGTGGTTAAGAGCACTTGTTCTTTCAGAAGACCTGGGTTCTATTCCCAGCACCCACATGGCAGTTCACAACTGTCTGTAACTCCAGTTCCAGGGGATCTGACTTCTTCTAGCTTCCATGGGTACCAGGCATGCATGTGGTGCACAGACATACATGCAGACAAAACATCCATACATACAAAATAAAAAAAAAAAAAATAAGCCGGGCGGTGGTGGCGCACACCTTTAATCCTAGCACTCAGGAGGCAGAGGCAGGCGGATCTCTGTGAGTTCGAGGCCAGCCTGGGCTACAGAGCGAGTTCCAGGACAGGCTCCAAAGCTACACAGAGAAACCCTGTCTCGAAAAACCAAAATAAATAAATAAATAAAATAAAAATTAAAAAAAATAAAAGAATTGATCAGGGCTGGTGAAATGCCTCAGTGGGTAGAGGCACTTCTTGACAATCACGATGACCTAAGTTTGATCCCCAGAACACATATGGTTTAAGGAAAGAGCCCCAGCCTGGTCTACAGAGCGAGGTCTAGGACAGGCACCAAAACTAAACAGAGAAACCCTGTCTCGAAAAACAAAAACAAACAAACAAAAGCCAACTCTAGCAAGTTGTCCTCTGACCTTGCTGTGGCATGTTGACAACCCCCACCCCATAAATACGTAGATGTTTAAAAAGTGAGCAGTGAAACCATGTAAAATCACAGAAGAATGTTGAAAGCATGTTGCTAAGCAAAAGAAGCCAATTGTAAAGGCTACAGACTTGATGATTACAATCAGGTGACATCATTCTGATGAAGGCGAAACTGTAAAGATATCAAAGGGTGGTGCTTGCTGGAGGTTGAGGTATGAGTAGATGGAGCACGGAACTTAACAAGTGTGAAACTATCCTGTAGGGTACTATGATGATGGATATGTGTCGGTTACCAAAATTCGTATGATGTCCAACACCAAGAGTAAGATCTTAATGTGGACTATGGACTCAGATGTGTCAGTGTGGGATCATTGACTGTAACCAACGTACTGGCTTGGGATGCTGATGATAGGGGAGGTTGTATGTGTGTAAGTAGAGTTCATATGGGAGCTCTGTTCTTTTAATTTTGCTGTAAACTTGAAACTGCTCTGAAAAAAATAAAGTCTATTTAAGGGAGCTAAAATAGCCAAAATCATCTTAAAAAATAACCAAGTTGTCAGACTCATATTTCCAGATCTCAAAACTTACCACAATGCTACAATAATCAAGACAGTGTAGTACTGGCATGAGATAAGACGTATGGATCAATGGGACAGAAATGGGAGTTCAGAAATGAACTCTCACATTTACAGTCTATCGATTTTCAACAGAGAGCCAAGAAAATTCAATGGGGGAAAGAATAGTCTTTTCAACACAGAGGCTTGAACAACTGACTATCCATAACAAAAGAATGATGCTGGGACCCTTTCCTATAGAAATGTGGACCAAAGATCCAAACACAAGGCTGAAGGCTGGGAAAGGTCAAGCTATAGGGCCCGAAGCCAGAGAGCACTGGATTAGTAGCCAGCCTAGGTATCTAGGTCTCCACACTGGGTGCTGTGATCCTTTGTCCCAGACTTTTGAGGTTGGCAAGTAACAGACGCTGGGTGACTCCATTGAGGCAGGAGGTGCCTGGTAAACATTTTCCATCTCTCCTTCAACTTATCAGTTTTGGAAGTCAGTGAGAGTAGACATTGGTGTAAACTTTTGAGAGGAATGATTTTTGCAGTGGGTATTACCCCCACTAAAGGAATGCAAGAGCAGTAGCATTCCATGAGACCTCCCTTGGCATCTGCAGAAATGCCAGCCGGAAATAACAGAAAGCAGTAGGTACAAAATTATTTGTAACAGCCTCTTCGACAAAATGGCCTCAATTTGCCAATTCCCCCATCAGTTAGGGTTAGGTTTTTCTTCCCTTAATCCTGGATTAACTTCCCTGCTAGCACTGGCTAAGGGGATGTTGCGGTGGATGTGATCGTGCATAGACTCCAAGTGCAGATGGAATAGTTCTTCCACTGGCTCCCACCTTGGGAACAAGCCTCAGCAGGCCTGCTGCAGCACGAGCCTGGACTATGACACAAGAGTCCTGGGGGCTGGAGAGATGGCGCAGCAGTCAGGAGCGCTTGCTGCTCTTCCAGGGGACCCGGATTTAGTTCCCAGCGTCTACATGGCTGTAACTGCCTGTAACTCCAGTTCCAGGGGATCTGATGCCCTCTCACGGCCTCTGTAGGCACCAGGACACACTCAGTGCACATACATACGTGAAGGCAAAATACTTATATTCATTAAATAAGGATAAATAGATCTTTGCGAAAACCCCAAGCCAGAGTCCTCCCAGGTTACAGCCACAGCTATTCCTCCAGCTGACCACAGGCCTGTGAATGCGCCCACCCGGGAGTGAGCCCAGCCCAGCCCAGCCCGAGACTGCCCTTGCAGACTGTGAGCAGAATAAATGCCTCAATTAAGACACTAAGCTTTGGGACTGTCAAGTAACTATTATTTATGGTTTCAAAAAAACTGATAGAGCCCCAAATTGGAGCCAACCCAGATGACCACTGATGCAAGGTTAGAGATATAAATGGCGGTCCAGCAGGACATTGGAGCACCCCATAGCCGTTAAAAAATGAGTTCGATCCGAATATACTGACCTCGAAGGAGTCCGTGATATATTGGTGAGGGATAAAGCAAGTGGCTGATCAATATATAAGCCCTGACCCCATTTTGATTCTTAAAAAAAAAGTCTCTGTGTGTGAATACATAGAACAGATCTACCTTAGCCAAAGTTGTCAGGGGGGCCAGACTTCACAGAGGTTGCCTCTGGGGGAGACAAGGAGGAATTTGATGTTTTTCTTTCTTTTTCTAATTTTTTTCAACGTTTTTAAAATTAGCACATAAAGTAATGGGTTTCATTTGGGCATTTTCATACATGCTGTTTCTGTCGACCCCCCCCTCCACTCCCCCACTTTGTCCCCTGCCCCCTCCTGCTGACCTGTCACCCTGCAGTAACTCCTGTTGTCACATCACACCTGCTCTAGGATCCCCTTCTTCTCATCTGGTCACCGAGAGAAGGAGCTGCTGAGATGACGTTTCCGCTTTGTTTTTGAAAAGCTGTACGAAGCTTGGTGTTTTCGGTGACTGTGTTTGTGGAAACCGAGGCTCAGCTGCTTCATGAAGCTTCTCCCTCCTTCTCCTCTGGCTCCTTGGCCCTATGGCTTCTGCTCCTCCTGAAGCAAAAGCCTACAGTCTGAGCGCCTCATGCCTGCAGAGACCCGTCTCCCAGACCCTTGACGGCTCCCAACCCGTTAGACGCTTACCTTGGTGTTACAGCAGGAAGAACGTGGGGGAATCAGATGTTTCCTGGCACAGGTTTAGGGAAACTGAAGCAGAGAGGTACACGGACATACGGAAGGCTTCTGTGAGACCTCAGCTGAGCTGATGCGAGCGAGACACAGGTCTCTGTTTACCTCTGGAGCCCAAGACCAGCCCAGACACCCCCGAGTCCCATTTCCCTAGGAGTGGCCCAGAGGGTTGGACACGCTCTCTCTTTCTGAGTATGGAGGGGGGGCTGTGAGGAGTGGAAGGGCCGAACTCCGGGAGGGGGGATGGGCATCTGTACCAGCCTCGGCCTGGAGCCTTTAGCAACAGTAGATAAAAAGCAAGAATAAAGGAAAGAGAGCAAAATGTCACACATGCTCTGCTGCCATTAGCCACCAGAGAAGGGAAATGTCCCATAATTAGGCCAGGTCTTTGTTAGCTTTTGTAGAGGGGAGAATGAGGAGGATGGCTGTGGGTGGGCACTGTCCCTCTGGGGGCACAAACATCTTGGGGCCAGTGCTCCATGACCTACCCAGCCGACACCCTGTTTCTGGGGCTGACGTGACCAGGTGGGGGTGGGTAGAAAGGAGGCCAGGGAAGGGGGGGACTCCTCCCCTTGGAAGCCTACACGTGCAGCTCCGAGGCCTCCCTGCTAAACCACCGAGCTGTTGTTTGTTTATATTTCTCTCATTATTATCCAAGTCACAGAAACACCCGGGTAATAGCTGTAAAATTACACACTCGCAGCTAATTCGGGTACGACTCTTGGCACAGCAGCCGCGTTTTAAGGAGAAATAAACAAGGCCTGAAATAAAAGTCGGCAGGAATACAAATCTACAGCAATGAGCCGGCAGCATCCCTCAGGCGCATGTGCGTGTCATTCTCTTCCCCCTACCCATGCACAAGGGCACGTGACGGGCACGTGACGGGCACCGGGCCCTTTGCATGCTTCTGCTGCCTGCCTGCAGGGCTAACCCAGGGCCCTTTCTCACCACTTGGCTCCCTCTAGCCAGGTTCTGGATTGGGCTAGCCTAGTCTTTGGAGAGCCAAACTGCCCTCCCCATCTTAATTTCCTTTTTCCTGTGGGTGAGGTACCTACAGTCTTCTCTCTCTCACTAGGGAGCGATGGTAAGTTAACCGCTAGGCTATCCTTCATTTATTCATTTAATGAGCAGCTACTGTGTCAGGCACTTTTGTCTTTTGAGTGGTCAGTGAAACGCAGACGTTGATCTTTTGCAGGACTGACATTTGGCGCAGGAGACAGAGAATAGAAAAAAGAAACACAGGGATAAACATACAAACAAAACAGAACAATACCCTGAATGATTAGTTACAGGAAAATATGCACTAAACGGTAAGTCACTCGATTGGTTAGAAAGACATGGGTGGCCATGTCCAAAAGTTGCCTAATGATGGACAGGTGTCAGTCAGGACAGCAGTTTCTCAAGGTAACTTACAGGAATCCAGATTTGATTCTCTTTTATTGACTATTAATAAAATGTGGTTATAAGTTTGAAATCTTAGAAGCTGGAGAGATGGCTCCGGAGTTAAGAGCACTGATTGCTCTTCCTGGGTTCAATTCCCAGCACCCACATGGCGGCTCACACCTGTCTGTAACTGCAGTTCCAGGAGACCCGACACCCTCATACACATGCACACCTGCAAAACACCAATGCACATTAACAAAACAAAAGTTTGAGATCTTGGTTCCATAAACGTATAGCTCAATACTGCTTTAAATGACTTAAAAACGGAGCTTAGAGAGATGACTCAGCAGTTAAGAGCACTGGATGCTCTGGCAGGGGACCTGGGCTCAGTTCCCAGCACCCACATGGTGCCCATAATCTTTTGTAACTCCAGTTCCAGGGGATCTGACGCCCTTCTTTGGTTCCACAGACACCAGGCATGCACACGGTGCACAGACATACATGTAGGCCAAACATGCACACACTTAAATCTTTAAACTTCTTAAAAGTGCTCTGTAATACACCTTTGTTAGATGCCAGAAATAAGCCATAGAAAGCCTTTACAAAAAAGAAATTAATAAATATACAACAGGTTAGGAAAAGAAAAAAAAAAAACAGAATGAGCAAGAAATGGTCAGATGGGAATTTTAGGAAAGCCTTCGGGGGTGGAGGCGGGGAAGGAAAGTCAAGCTGAGGGAACTCATGGGCAAAAGGCCCTGAAGCGGCAGGAAGGCCAGTGCTACCCTGGGAGCTGGGGCTGGGGTATAAACTGGCCTGGAGAGACATGCAGGTGTGGTAGGCCACCCCTGGGGGCCAGGAAAGGACAAGAAGAGTCAGAGGAAGGCTGTAGTAGAGGGAGAGCTGATTCCGGGTTTGGGGAGGATTTCCTGAGTGGCCGGGGGTCGGGGAGGGGAAGCTTGTAGAAGAAGCAGGGAGGCTGAGGCTGTGGCCCTGGAAGGTGCTCCGTTGGCCTTGGAAAGGGCAGGCATAGTGTAGGCAGGAACAGGCAAAGGCAGGTAGGACTGGGACACGGAGTGCAGGGGTGTGGCGTGTCTGGGTGTCTGATGGAGATGCATTTCCTACAGGATGGGCAGCTTTGGGGCACTTGAGACACAGAGGGCACCTGAGGCCGTGAGAATTGTCAAGGCTGTCTAAGAGTAACGAGAGGTGTTTGGAAATGTGTAACTCCCAGCTTCACTCTGGGACTGAATGCGACTCTGTGACATCACTAATTAGAATCAAAAATCCTGTCACAGCTGGTCAAGAGGATGAAACAGAGGTGTCAAGTGTTTACCTAGTTGGGTCTCACTCACTGGAGTCTTTTGAGTAGACACTGTCAGGGTGTGATCCGACCCCTTGAGAAGCTGACAGACACAGAGGTGGCTCTTTCTACCCATGTCATAACTACCCTGGGGTGTCTGTACCACATGTATGACTGATTCCTCCATCTACACTATAATATGAGGGGATATGTATGAAGAGCATGTGCTAGAAGTAAGAACACAGGCACCAAATTTCCCCTTTCTTCTGCCTTAAGAAACCTGGGGTGCAGGTGGAGCTGGGAAACACGAGGACAAGGTTTACCAGGATCCCCAACTCTGATGGCTAGGGGTTCCCTGTCTGATGATTCTTGGACCCTGGGAGGTAGCTAAGCCCCTCCAACTCCAAACCTTCCTGCACCCCACTGTTTGTCCACCAGCGTATGTTGGAGGACATGTATGTTTCACACCCCTGTGCATGTCAGAGCACACAGTAAAAACATGCACAAGTTGAGCATGGCGGCAACACATTTGTAATGTCAGTGCTCTGAGAGCTAAGATAGGAGCTCAAGGTTATCCCAAGTTCCACGACCAACCTGAGTTACACAATGAGACTGTCTCTAAACAACAATAACGAGAAACAATAACAAAACCCCTCCGACGGGGGCTGGAGAGATGGCTCAGCAGTTAAAGCATTGGCTTCCTTCCCAGATGACCCAAGTTTGAGTCCCAGCACTCACATAATGGTTCACAGCCACCCAAAACTCCAGTTCCAGGGGATTAGATGCCTTCTTCTGACCTCTGTAGACACCAGGCACATGAGTGGTACACACATGTACATGCACACAAAATACTCACACAAATAAAAAAAATAAGCAAATCTTTAAAATTAAAAACAACCCTTAAGGACTGGAGAGATGGCTCAGAGGTTAAGAGCACTGGCTGCCCTTCCAGAGGTCCTGAGTTCAATTCCCAGCAACCACATGGTGGCTCACATCCACCTATAATGAGATCTGGTGCCCTCTTCTGGCATGCAGGCGTACATGCAGGTAGATCGCTGTATACATAATAAATAAATAAATCTTTTAAAAAAATGATGTGTTCATGTGTCACATGTGTACACACAGATGTGCAGGTACAGATGTGAAGATTTGTGTGCACAGCTCCTCTGTCCTCGTGATCCTGCAGCTGAACTTGTAACCACTATCCGGGGGCTGAGTTCCAGGTGCTCTCTGGGGGCCTCAGCATGGCAACGCCTCCACAGTCTTCCTTCATGTTTATTGGGCTGTTCAGGAAGCCTGCTGTACACAGTAGCTGTTGAGAAGTTGGGTTACGTTGGGGCAGAAGCCTGAGGTTTTGGGACCTAAAGAGGAAAAGCTCCTGGAACACTAACCATGCTAGCTCAAGGCTGCTGAGGGAGCCACTACTTCAGCAAACACCTAAGGTGAGGGCAGCAACCCTTGGCCACTTAGAAGGTCACCTCAGCAGCATGGTAGGGCCTGAAAACCCTCTCCTCGGCCTTAAGAGACCCGGCACATTGGCAGAAAGCAGGGCTTCGACCCCACCGCCCCCAAATACACCCCATGACCTGTCATTGTTCCGTGTATGCAGTGCACAGAGCCTGTCCCAAACCCGCTCAGCGTCATTTAGCAGTTATGCTCATATGAGCCCTGGGCATCTCAGAACTCTTAGGATGACAAGTATAAACAGTCACAGACAAATGCTGACACAGTAGTTGGTGCAGACAACTGGATCACCCCTGGCCCCAGCTGGATACCCCTCGGCAGAGTCCAATTTCCTATTTTGTCATCTCCTTGATGTATCTAAACAGGAATGGGGAGATGGTTGCCCCAGGAGCAGTTTAAACGTTTTATTTATTATTTTGAAAAGAGAACATGTTTATATGTTTAAAAAATTTGAAAAGCTAGCCGAGAATAAAGCAAGAAATCTTTCTCCCCCACATCCCTCACCAGCCACTCCTTCCCAGTCTAAGCCTTCCTGGGCTTCCTGTGGATACAAACATGAACAGATTCTGAATGGATGACTAAATGATTTGGGGGATCTTGTGGTATGGGGAGGGCCCAGCCTTCTGTCCCTGCCCACCCTCAAACCCAGGGCTGCAGCCCTAACAGGATGATAATCAATAGGACACTTTCAAATATTTATGAAACCCTGGTGGATTTTCTCAGTCTGGAGTTGTAGCTTTCATGGAATTTGGCATTAGGAGCTAGAAGGTCAATATTTTCCCTGGGCCACTGATGACTGACCGAGATGTGAGCCTTTTTGGCTTGCTTCTGGCCCCTTGGGCCTGGCTATTCCTGCCCTGTCAGCTTCTTGTAGATGGTTCTTGAATTTTCTGCCATGGGAGGCTGGTGAGAAAGGACACCGAGGCCAAACCTCTCTGTGGGAGCTTTGGGGTGGGCAGAAGTGCCGCACAGACTCACTGGAGGGATTTGGGGAAGTCAGTATCCTTCCCTGAGCCTGTCAGCTGATATCCAGAGTGGGAAGTTCGGCTAATCTCTGACCTCGCTCCCAGGGTTCCACAGGGCTCTCTGTCTCTCCAACATGTCCAGGCACAAGGCAGCGCTGGATTGGGTTCCTTCTTCCTGCTTGTTGTTCGGGGAGCTGTTTCCTGGAGCCGAGGAAGCTGTGGCCTGAGAGCCTGGGCATCTTTGGAACTTGTCCCTACCTCATGGCTTCTCGCTGGGGCCCGAGGGAGCGGATGTTACAAAGCTGACGGCATCCAGTTTGATCGGGATTGAGGGATGGCCACCCGCCCCGTTGATGGAGGGTTGTGAAAACCAAGCTGACAGCTCCATAACCCTGAGGGCAGAGCCAGGGCAGCCAAGACCAAATGAGCTTGGCTGTGGTGGGGCAGGGGAGGGACAGCCAGGAGGAGCCAGTCAGAATACACTGCACGGGCCTTCCTCACCCCTATGCAGCCTTCAGAGGTGTGGAGGGGAGAAGGTACTTACTTTTGTATTTGGGTAGTTGGAACGTACTCAAGGATTACCATGCTTATTGTTTTCACCACAAAACTCAAGCAGCCTGCCACCCTACGACACAGGTTCCCTCCCCTGAGCAGCCACACTCCTATTGTTAGCTCTGTGCTGGATACCTCAAAGTCGGTTCCACCCCTTGCAGAGTGAGCCAAATATCTGCATGTGGACAGAGCTGCGTTTTGTTGTTGTTTTGTTTTGTTTTTGAGACAAGGTCTTACTATGAAGACCCTGTCTAGGCTGACCTGGAATTCACAGAGATCTTTGCCTCTGCCTCTGGGGTGCTGGAGTTAAAGGTATGAGCTACCACACCTGGCCCAAACTGTCATTTTTTCAAAAAAAAAAATGACTTAAATAGAATACTACTTCATAGAACTCATTCTGGAATTTGCTTCTCCCCATAAGTTTGGGGGAGTCTTTCATGATAGAAATTAATTTTTTTTACCCCTTTTAGCTGCTTCAAAGTATTCCTTAGTTCTTTAAACAATTCCCGTATTGATGGGAGATGGGCAGTTTCTGGTATTTTGCTATTATACAAAGGATCCTTGGGAATATCCTTTTGTACATGTGCTCTTGTTTGTGTGTGCGTATGAGTGCATGAATGCATGTTAAGGTCAGAGGACAGCCTTGGATGATGTTGCTCAAGACCTTTATGTGTACACATGTATGTAGAGTCCAGAGGTTAATGTGTCTTCTTCAGTCACATTCCATTTTTTTTTTCCAGGCAGGGGCTGTCACTGAGCCGGAAGCTCACTGATTGGCTAAGCTGTCTGTCCAGGGAGTCCCAGATGTCAGCAAGAAGCAGCTTTTAGGAAATAGACTAGCATTGGAGAGTCAGGGATGCCTAGGCCACAGGCTCCGAGCTTTGAGGCCAAGGCACAGACAGACTCTAGGGCCTCCTCCTTTGTGCCTTCATTCATTAGTATTAGGGGTTTCCTCCAGACTCTCAAATGTGTCTACAGCCCTAAGAGATTCCAAGTCCGTGGACTGAAGCAGAGTCTCCAGGAGCAATGAGAAGATTCAGGACCCAGGGTTCAAACCTCACCTCTACCCTCATCTGTACACTAAGGGACTGGACCTGCACATCCTTCATGGTCTCCTGGCAGCTTCAGCTCTCCTCTCCTTTATCCCAGGAGAAGGGCTGCTGGAGGGTCCCTAGGTTCCAGGGGACAAAGAATAAAAGAGCGGGATACCCTGGGGAGCAGGAGGTATTGAGAGGAAAGGGTGGTCTGAGGTCAAGGAAGTCCCTTGTCCTTCTCTACCACATGTACAAAGAAAACTTAGAATGGAATAGAGTATCCAGGCATGGGGAGCCCTGGGAAAGCTGTCTGGGCCTGGGCTCGCTGGACTCCTCTGCAGCCCTCCTCCAGGCTCTATATCCAATTGGCCCACAGTGGGTGATGGAGGAAGGGAGACCGGCCCTGTCCTTAGCAAACTCTTGCCATACAGACCTCATGAGCAACTTCCAGATCAAGCCACTGGACTCTGGGGCAGTAGGGATTCAAGAAGAAAGCAGCCTTGGGTGCTATAGCAGTCTAGGAATGATGCTTTGAAATTGGCAGGTGTCTTTCGTATCACAGCCCACGCTTCCTGGAGAAGGAGAAGGGAGTCTGCACTGAGGGGGCCTCCTAAATTTGTGCTCTGGCACCAGGCATACTTGGGTAGAACTCTACCACTTCACCTATCAGATGGACAGCCATGAATGACTGAGTTGGTATCTCTGCTCTCTGGTAACGTTGTGAAATGAGGGTAATAATAGATTCTGACCTAGAGGGCTGTGGTTGAGGATGTTAAATGTTTCCTAATGGTGCCTGGCACAAAGCGAGCACTCAACAAAGACGGGCCATGTTTTACTGTTCCCATAATTGTGATTAAAGGATGAGAGACTCTGAAAAGTGGAGGGGGAGGGGGCAGTTCAGCCAGCTGTGAGGGGCCACTGGGAGCATCTAGAAGGAGGCTTTACCTTTTTGTGCACAAGGAGGCGTCCTTAGAGTTTCAAGATGATGGTTGTATAGTTCCCAGTTCTGACACCCATATCCTGGGGACCAAATGCTATGAGCTTTTAAACCTAAGTTCTATAAAGCAGACCCCAGGGCGAAGAGTCAGTATACAGCTGGAAGAATCCCAGAGGCAGTGGCAGGATCAAGGCAACCATGTGGGGCTGGGGTTGGAAGTCAGGAGAGGAGAGCCTATTCTGACTGTGCAGAAGACCAACTCTTCCGGCGGGTGATGGGAGAGGACTCAGACTGAGTCAACCGCAGATCTTCAGGGACAGTGTCTCTGCAGGTCTGAGCCTCTAGTTTCTCATCTGTAACAAGAGAAGGGGAGGCTAGATCAGGTTACCAGAGAGTCCTGACTGTAAGTAGCCACCTCTGAGAAGAAATTAGGTATGGAAGGTGAGTTGGAGGGGCACTTGAGGGAGGGACCTCCAGGAGGGAAAGGTAAGCTGTAGTCACAAATAAACCAGACCCTGCGCGCCCCCCACCCCCTCCCTGGCAGAGGTGACAGCTCCTCTACTTCCGAAGCAGAGGCTGACTGACTGATGAGAAGGCTCCCGAGCTAGCCTGTCAGCAAGTGCCCCCTGCCACCTTTGCATGGCTAATTTGCATAACATTTGCACAAATCTGCATAATTTAGGAAGCAGCCAGTACTCCTCTTGGGCAGTCAGCTCTCTATGATTTTATGAGCTTTGAAGTAGCCCTTTCTTCTTCTGCCCACCCCCCTCTCCGCTTTCCTTTCTTCCGCATCTGGCCTGTCAGGTCCTGTTGCCTCTGCCCACCTCTCTGGGGTGGTAGGTTGGACCTCCAAGACTTTCTCAATCCCCAGAGAAAGGCCCATGCAACTGTTGAGAGCAGCCTCAGTCAGCCCTCTGAGAGGGGATTACAGAGTTCACCAAGAGTGGGTCAGGATCCAGGATGAGCCCTCTTTCCTGACAGGGTGGCGGAGGGGGCAAGATGCATCTGGGTTAGCAAGGCTTTTAGCTTCTGCCCTTGATGGTAAGGCTAGGACTGTGCCCTGAGGCTCAGAGACTGGCTGTCCAAGCAGTTGTCCCCACTGTCACTACGGAGGACTGCTCTCTCAACATGTTTATTCTTGGACTGGTGAAGACTCTCTTGGGTATGAGTAATACCAACTTTACTCCACACAGCTTAAGAAAACCAAAAAAGGCTGGGTACCGTGCAGTTTAGCGGCAGGGTATGTACTTAGAACGCACAAGGCCCTAAATTAGAACCCCAGACATTGAAAAGAAAGGAAGAGAAGAAAGGAAGGGTGGGGGTGGGGGGAAGCAATGTCTTGGCTCACATAGTTGAGCCATAAGGGGACATGGGGACTTCAGGCACATCTGACTCTAGGGGTGCAAACACTATTGTGAAGATGTTTTCTTTGCTGTCTTTCCCTTGGTGGTGAATCGAACTCCCAGCCTTCACCCCAGAAGCTCTACAGTGACATTCTATCGGCTCTAAGTCCATGAGTCCACCATTCCAGAATCAATTTTATTGATTTCACTTAGGTCATGTGCCCTAAAGCACATGTGACTGCTCATTGGCCAGGCTCAGGCCACATTTCCAGCCTGGAGACAAAGACAGAATCAATCCTGACCCAGGGGAGGACAGCTCCCTAGAGCAAGTCAGGGACCACTCTCAGAAGGTGGGGGTGGGGTAGGAGGGTGTTGGGGTCAGGTGACCACTAGTGCTTCCCTAGTGAATGAATCTGATTCCACGTGTGAAGAACTGGAGGTGGAGGTGGGATGAGGCTGTGGATAGGAGCACAGTGCCTTACAGCGGCAATTCTCTTTCCTCGGTGTCCTAAGACAGGACTTAGGCAGAATCTTAGTCCCACAGGTACCTTGTTACAAGATAGGGTGTAATGCTCTGACCTCCTAGTGACCAGGACTCTGAGCCACCTGGCCTCTGGAAAGCAAAGATGATGACTGCCATGCTATAGAAGAGACTGTGGAGGCCATCTAGATAGAAGACAGGGACAGTGTCATTGAACTGTGAAGGAAGAAACACTCTGTCTTAGTTAGGGTTTCTATTGCTGTGAAGAGACACCATGACCGCAGCGACTCTTATAAATGAAAACATTTCATTGGAGCTGGCTTACAGTTTCAGAGGTTGAGTCCATTACCATCATGGTGAGAAGCATAGCAACATGTAGGCAGACAAGGTGCTGGAGTGAGAGCTGAGAGTTCCACATCTGAATCAGCAGGCAGCAGGAAGAGAGTGAGACACTGGGCCTGGCTTGGGCATCTGAAACCTCAAAGCTCCACCCTCAGTGACACACTTCCTCCAATAAGCCTACACCTACTCCAACAAGGCCACACCTCCTAGTAGTGCCACTCCGTATGGGCTGCTTATGGGGGCATTTTCATTCAAACCACCACACACAAGCCTATCTCTTTAATGCTGGGGCTGCAGAGAGGCAGGGAGGCATTATAGACATAAGAAACTCCCGTTTCAACACAATTCCTGAGCAGTGGTCCAGGCTCCACCCACACCATGAGTGTCAGAACTGCTGAGTCTCCAGTGATGCCAGGGACAAGCTTGGCACTTGTCCTGCTCTGCAGGCCCCCAGCTACCCAGTCTAGATGCATTCTGAGCTCCTGCTGTGCCCACTCCATGCTGCCAGGCAACCTGCCCATCCTGCCATCTTTGGCCAGGACTGGAGTGGGCTCCTGCTTCTCAAGACTGTACTCCCAGGGAGAGTCACCTGCTTCCTACTCTGGACTGCCAGTGCTGGGCTAAGAGCTCTGCTTATTAATCTTCAACAGTGCCACCAGGAGGCTAGGGGTTTCATTGTCAGCTGCCTCCCTGAGTTATAAATTAGGATCTGAGATCCTGAGAGGGTAAGCCACATGATTAAGGTGGTACACTGGCAAATAATAGGGGATTGGAGACCTCGAGGGTCTTTAAACTGTGTAGCACCCTTTACTCTGCCTGGGTCTTAGTCCCACTATCTGTACAATGGGCCAGATGTCACCTGGGTCCTATGCTGTCAGAGGTAGATGAGTACTAAGTGGGTCTTTAGAAAGCTTAAGCAAGTGCCCTTTATTTTTTTTCAAACATAATTCTTTATTGATTCCATGGGAATTTCACATCATGCGCCCCAATCCTGCTCACCTCCTAGTCCTTCTGTGTCTCCCCCTCACCCCTGGAGCATCCCCCCAAAATCAATTAAAAACAAACAAACAAACAAAAACCCTTCATTTCTCCATCTCTCCAACACCTCTTCATTCACCCCAGAGGCATTGGGAGCTACGGTGTGTCACGGAGTAAACCCTTTTGTCCAATCAGCCCCACCCACAAAATGTTCATTGCAATGAGTCACTGGTCTGGCTCAAGGCCTCTGGCACACCTTCATCACTGGACCCTCACTAAAACTCCTCTCTGATATCCTGCTGTTGCCCCGAGTCACGGAGATCCTGTGGTTATTGTTCTGCAGGACCAGTCCCTTCGCACACTCCAGCAGGTCATAGATGGGGTGGATGTTAAGGTGGGCCACCCCAAGGCCCAGGATGTGGGTCTGGGTAGCAGCTGAGCTGGTTGGTCTGGGCCACTGTGATCTCCCCTCTTAGGCAAGGGGCAGAGCCTAGGCCCAAACCATCAGGGCCAGCTCTCCCACACCCGTGGTGAGGGATGGGGCCATCTCTCCATGAGAGGCGGGCCAGCTATCCTGCTGCAGTGACCAGCAAGAGGCAGGGTCAACTATCTCAGGGCCAGGCCACCTTAACACAGGCCTTGGATTTCAACATGCATAGTTCCTATGACCCCCTCTGGCAACACGGGCCATGGACACCATCACAGATCCCAGCTGCAGCAGGACCACGGACCCAGACATGGCCCTTGATAGCAGCTCACTCAGGCCTGGATGTCACCGGTGGCAGCACAGGACACCCAGATCAGTATGGACCCCAGTGGTAACAAGGCCCTCTGACACCAACATGGTCTCAGGTGGCTGTTCAAACCCCAGGCATCGGCATAGGTCTCAGTGGTAACAAGAGCCAGGAACATCAATTCAGATCCTGGCTGCTGCTGAGGCATAGACTTAGACATGGCCCTAGGCAGTAGCCCAGGCATGGACAACATCATGGCACCTTGTGACAACACAGGACATCCAGCTCAGCATGGCCCCTGTGGTGGCATGGCCCTCTGACACCAACACAGTCTCAGGTTGCGACCTAGACTCCAGGCATCTGTGTGGCCTTTGGTGTTACCATGGGCCACGGACATCAACTCAGACCCTGACTATGGTGGGACCATGGATCCAGACATGGGTCCCGGTAGCAGCCTAGGCCTGGATGTCACCATGGCCTCAGAGAGCAGGTGCCCTTTACATCTTGTCTTTGCTGCCAGTGAGGGGCAAGGGAGCCAGGAGCCTGTAGCCCCCAAGGCTTGGGTAAAGGGCATGTGTGAAAGAAGAGGGTGGGCTGGGCCTTATGTCATAGAGAGGAGGCTGCAAAGGATGAGGCTTCTGGTGAGCACCACAGGTGAATGGGGCAGAGGGAGCGGAATAGCCTGTCCTGACCTGAGAAGGACTTCAGCTGGAAGGGTAGAGGTTTTGATACCAGAGGGAGCAGGACATGCATGGGCCCGAGCAGAGGCCATCTGGGTAGGGGAAGGGGACAAGCACAGATTCCCTGAGGCTCCTCTTCTGTATTCCCTGTGGTGCTGATGCTGGGCCGGGCTTATCCAGATGCGCTTCCAGTTCTCCTCGCTAGGGGTGCTGGGTCTGGAGCTGTCACTACCGTGCCCCCCTTCATGTTCCACCCCATCCCCTGTCCCCCACCCAACCACCACTGCTACCACTTCCTGCTGCCTGTGGTCTGAGGTACACAGACGGCAAATTTTAGCTCTAGGTCATACTTCAAAGTGGGGGTGGGGGTGGGCAGGGGTGCTCCACAAGCTTGTAGAGAAGAAAGAAAGCCCATGTGGGGGCCTTGCAACCTGATTTGTGACTGGTGTGTTCTCCTACCTGGGAAGAGCCAAGCTCAGATTCTGGAACGTTCTCTCAGTCACTTCTGCCTCTAAGATAACAAGCTGCTTTATTTGTTTTTAATTTTAAAATTACATCTATGTATGTAGCGTGTGTGTGTGTGTGTGTGTGTGTGTGTGTGTGTGTGTGTGTGTATGTGTGTGTGCGCGCACGCGCTCTCTCTCTCACATGCAATTGCATTCGCATACAAGCACAAGCCTCAGTGTGCACATAGAGATCAAAAGACAATTGGTAGAAGTCTGTTCTCTCCTTCCACCCTATGTGTCCAGGAGGTCAGATTCGGGTCATCAAATTTGGCTGCTAATGGCATTATGCCCTGAGCTATCTTGCCACAACCTGCCTTGATGGAGGAATTTCTGGCAGGCTAGTGATGTGTGTGTGTGTGTGGGGGGGGGTTGTCCCCCAGTTCACTGTGGTGTGGGTTGCCTGTCTGTGTATGCTTCTCCCTGACTCAAGTTTTCAGTGAACACACAGCGAGTGAGGAGCCCAGGGGAGGCTAGCTCCCCATAGAAACAGTCAGTGCTTCACTGTAGCTAACCATGGCAGCTGCCAAAAACAAGAGCTGAGGAGAAAGAGGCAAGGGTCCCACACTGGAGCAGGGAGCTGGCCTCTGCCACCTGCCACACAGCCTGCGCCAGGAACCGCTAAGCCTCCTTGTTGAGCTGGCTCCTGCAGCCATGTGGGTCTCCCTGGGAAGCCACTCGGTCCTTCTCACCTCCCTGCCTCCTAAAGAGCAGCTTCCAGAGGATCTGGACACACACTCTCTCTCAGGAGACATTTGGGGGCACTTCCCCACTCTGCCTGGTAGTTTCCAGTTCCAGGCCCCAGGTGGCTGTGTGAGTTTCTTTCCAAGTCCTCCATTCCACAGATGCCAGCTTGCAGAGCTGACTGACGGTTACCCAGCAACGCAGCACATATTTGGGTCAACCAGCCTGGCCCTTGCCCTCATCCTTGATTTACTGGGACCTAAGGAAGCATGCAACCCATTGGCTTTGCCCTCTTTTAAAATACTTGGGCACTTAGTAAAAATAACTTCTCTGGGCAAAACCCTTTCCACAAGGCTTTCTATTTAAGGGCCTGGATGGGTGAGCCATTTGGGTAGACAGACTGAGAGGCATGGACGACAAGGTCCAGGTTTCATGCTCCTGATCCTCTGGTGATGGATTTCAAAGGCCCCTATAGGTGTCAGCCTTACCTTCCCAAATCTGACCAGGCACTACACCACACCTCAGAGCTGCTCTGCCCCACCCATCATTCCCCTCTTCAGACCCCTGGCCTTCATCCTTCCCTATTCGAGAACATTCCTTGTCCCAGCAGTACTAACACTGCACACCCCACTCTTGTTATACTCCTCAGCCCCATCTCTCTCATGAGTACCTCAGTGGGCCTCTGCTTCCTCCAACTCAGTCTCCACTCTAGAGTTAGACAGCCTGTTAGAAACACAGATTTGGGGGCTGGAGAGATGGCTCAGAGGTCAAGAGCACTGACTGCTCTTCCAGAGTTCCTGAGTTCAATTCCCAGCAACCACAATAGTGGCTCACAACCATCTATAATGAGATCTGGTGTCCTCTTCTGGCCTACAGGTATACATGCAGGTAGAACAGAATAAATAAATAAAATCTTCAAAGGGAAAAAAAGAAATGTAGATTTGATCCCCACCAAGTGCTTGTACAGAGCCTACATAGCCTCTGACTCCCACCATCAGGGCCCCCTCAGCAGGGCACCTGTGCCGCTTTTCTTCCCAGACTCCTACCATTGCAGGCATTTGTGGCTGTCTAATCCACACCCCCTTGTTAGGTCTGAACCATGGGCGACACCCCTCTCTGTCCTTCTAGTATCTGGATGGTCCTCCTAGCACCTTCTTGGACGCTCGCATCTGGCAGTCCTGGCCTGGCATCTGCTACTGTGCAATCAGTACAGGGCCACCATTTCCCCTAGGTTATTTTGCTCTGGCTATGTGCTCTCCACCCGCATTGGTACAAGGTTGGTACCCCAAAGCAGTTTGTATTAAGGAAGAAATTGCCACGCTGTGGTGGTGGCGCACACCTTTTATACCAACACTTGGGAGGCAGAGGCGGGTGGATCTCCAAGTCTGAAGCCAGTCTGGTCTGTAGAGTGAGTTCCGGGACAGCCAGGGCTACACAGAGAAATGTTGTCTCAAAAAACAAAACAAAAACAAACAAACAAAAAAACAAAAAAAAGGAAGAGAGGCTGAGTTCTTGCCAAGGTCTCCAATAGCAGGCCTATATTTTCCCTTCCTGGCCACAGGTGCTGTCTATTCTGTGGACTGCACAGAGCCCCCCTCACTTCCCCACAGTGGGCCCAAGCTGGCACATGGCCAGGGCCACACAGTCCTAGTCACCTCCCCATGCTCCTTCCCCATGGACTGCATCGGCCACATCCTCTTCTAGTTGAGAATGTGCCAAAGCCAAGATCGGACTTGATCCTGGGGTGTCCAGAATTGGTGGGCCTGGCAAGGAGAGTTGGGGGCGGGAGGACAGCAATGAGGGGGCATCCCTGGGGCCCAGCCAGGCCCTGCTCAGCCTCACTTCACCCTCATTCCAACCTTACCACCTCAATTCAGCTGCCTGGGAGCAGGGTTGTTCCAAGAGTCCAGTGACCCTGGCCTGGCCGTGTTGTGTCAACAGGAGGCAAGGGAAAAGGACCACACACGCTCACTCACCCAGGTGATGGGGAGGGGGAGAACTCTGCAAAGCCCAAGTCCTCACAGGAGCCTGCACCACATTCGGTACACTGCCCCCACTCCCTCCCCAAGCTCACTCTGCTCCCCCACACTGGTCTCTTTGATGTTACTCTACATTGACAGCATTCCCACCTCAGGGCCTTTGTACTTGTGCGACTTCAGAGTCTCAGGCTGGGGACCTGCAGGCCTCACCAACTCTGTATCTAGACTCCAGGTGCTCACTCAGGGAGCCCCACTTGTTAGGTTGCCCCCCCCCGGGGGCTTTTTCAGGCCTGTGCTTGTTTTTTCCCCACCTATCACTATCTAAAGCACTTTCCCCCTTCCTTATCTCAACTGTGCTCATTTCCCGATGGGATGTCAGCCCCGTGAGCTGGGAAATGTCAGTCCCCAGTGCTCTGAGGACAGGGGGAATTGAAGGAGTGCTTGCAGAATAAGGGAAGGACTGAGTTACCATTAGGTAGAAAGGGCAGCTGCTGGATAAGAACACTCACCTGAGCCAGGCCCTTTAAAACATCTGTGATGTTCCGGAATCTTCCTGAACTTCCGATCCTCAGATGTCAAGGAAACCAAGGACAAAGACGTTGACCGACTTTCCTAAAGTGGTGACTGAACCAGGCTAGTGACGTGACGTCTCCAAGGAAAGCCACAGTCTGGGCTCTGTGGCAACCAGGGGGTACCCCGGTCTGACTTTCACAGGGAGACTCCCTTGGCCCTGAGACTCCAGGGCATGTGCAGACTCTGGCGTTCTCAGTTCTGCCATGGAACCAGAGCCTTAGTCTGGGAAGAGAAGAAACAAGTGAGTGGCATCTTCTGTCCCTGCCCCTGGTCCCGTCCTGTTACCTGCAAGGCCTCCTGACAAAGTAGATCACCAGAATGCCTCTCACAGCTGGCTCCTGGTGCTCCAGGCTGCAGCCTCCCAGGAGCCCAGCTTAAACCCCACAACTTTCTCCTCTGCCCGGCTGGCTTTGCCCACGGTGTCGGAGGCACATGAATTCCCTTCTGACTCAACCTTCCTCACGCCCCCTGTCACCCCCTCTTCTTCTAGTGGCCCCCAGATCCTCATTTCCCACTGTCCTGTGCTGTCATCTCCTCCAGCAGAGTCCCTGGGGGGGAGGTTGTATATGAGATTATTTTGTGGAATCCAATAAAAATTTTAATCAGGTCACCATCATTACAGAGAGGAAATGATAGATTGTCCCTGACGCAGACGATGTGGAAGAAAAAAAAAGAACCTGTCAATCCATACACTTGGATACACTCACAAGCACGTGTCAGCGCCTCCATGCCTGCACACTGGCACCATGCTTTTGTACACTTGAGTGTGCTCAGCAGGTACATCCATCATCAGATAGTCCCTGCCACCCTGACTATGGACATTGGTTCATGGGCTCAAATCCTGCTCCACTGGGAGGTTGCTGTCTGGTGTCTGCTGGTGCTGGGCCTGCAATTGACTCACTCACAACTGGGAGATGCCACCTCAGAGAAGAAGCCTAATGCCCATGAGCTCCCGCTCCAGGCTCTGACATCTGTGAGTCCTAAGCTACAGTACAAGTGCAGATGGCTGCCCACAAATGATCTGTCTGGATATTTAAGGTTCTAGATCATGCCTAGGCTCTTGGGTTGACAAATAGCAACTCAGAAGACTGGGGTTGGCTGTGGAATTCTAGGGGAAGAGCTGGTCTTTCCTTTCCTCTCCAAGCTCTGTGCTCCCTGAAAGACCCTAGTTCATAAGCGTGACTACCTGCATATACCCCTCAGGCTTTGAGCATACACTTTAATGAGCCCAGGAAAGGAGACCATGCTGGCAGAAAGTTCAAGGGCTCTTGAACCTGAAGATTCTGGAGAAGAGCAGAAGTAGGAGGTCCCTGCTGGGCACTGGCAAGGCCAGTGGCCCCAGCATCAGGGAGTCCTGTGTCTCCTTTCCCTATAATCCTCATAGCCTTCTGCATGGCTGGGGTTAGCCTTTGAGGTACATGTAATGAAATTGTAATAGTCAGGTGGTCATGGCCCAGAGTGGGCAGGGGACGACCTGTGTGTCTGCCCAGTTCCATGAACTCCATCCCTCAAGGACAGGAGTCTAATGTGGGGATGAAGATAGAGAGAGATACCCTGCCGGGTACTCAGGGCGGAGAAAGCTCTAGATGGTACCTAGCAAGAGAAGACCCATTAGGCACTCCTTGGGGGTTTTGGATGCCCTCAGACCTAGCCTTGCCCAAGGTGCTTGAGGCTGCAACTTAGTACCACTGGGATCTGGAGCCCATGAGGAGAAACCTGACTAACACAGAAGAAGATGGCCTTGCTCAGGTAATTTCCTATTCATGACTGTGGAAGCAGCTGCCTCTTGGGAGTGGATGGGAGGGGCTTCCTCCTGAGACAGTCACAGGAGCTGCATTCCTGAAGTGACTAGGGTAGGCAGTAAGACCCCCTACTGGGCTTCCTTTCTCCTCTAGTCCAACCCTTCTTGGAATCCAGGATGCTATGTCAACTCCATAGCCTGCCTCTCCTCCCTCTCCTTCCAGATGACTTTAGGGCTTCCACTCAGCTTGCAGTGGACCCCATAACAGGAGTCTAGAGTCTTCAGCCATTCCAGGCTGATGGGGTGAGGTAGGATGAAGTAGATGGGAGGTCACCCCATGAGGCTTCTCTCCTCCCCATTATTTAGGGGGTGCTCCCAACTAACCTCCAGGCAAGGGGCAAGAAATAACCCTCAGCAGATCCACTATGTCTTCTCACTGGGCACTTCTTCCTGTAATAAGGGACCTGGCTTATTTGAGACCCTGGACAGTATGTCTACTCTCCTCCTTGGTGTTTCTAACGATGGTCTGTGGACTCCCTGATAGTTCAGTATCCAGGATGGAGAGAGATGAGGCCTGCTGTCTATGGGCCCCAGGTCCCTGGCCTTCCTGGCCTCTGTTTGAATCTCTAGTCAAAATCTTCGTAGTGACATGCAATATACTGTGCAATGGTATTCAGAGGTGTGGCCTGAGGACCTTCCACTCCTACTGCTGGGGATATGCAGAGAGGAAGAATCCTCCCATGAGGAATGAACCCTCACTAGACCCCCAATCTTCTAGCACCTTAATATTGCATTTCCCAGCCTCCAGAATGCTAAATAAGTGTCTGTTGGTCATGGGTTACCCAGCCTAAAGTATCTTTTTGAGCAGCTAGGACAGACTAAGACACCATAACACTACTGTATAGAGAGAAGCACAGAGGCACAGGAGAACTGCAACTCCCAAGATTGTCACATGCCCATCAGAGGGGACTATCCTAGGAGAATAATTATCATGTCTCTGTTTGGCAGCCTGGAGCTCTGTTGAGGATTGTGCCCTCTGCAAGTGCCTACAACTCAATCAATGAACTCTTTCCCCAAAGCTCAAAAATGGCTTCTGGATAGTCAAGAACATCCCCCCAAAAAGGTAATCTTCATTGAGTACCTACTGTGTGCTAGGCACTGTGCTACTATTACCTTATTTAATGTTCAAAGTAGGCCAGGCATGGTGGGACCTGTAACCCCAGCTACTAGAGATCCCAAGGCAGGAAGAGTGTCAATTTGGGGCCATTTGGGGCTATACAACAAGACTCTGGAAAGAAAAGCAAGTAAGTTAGGTCAAATTAACGTGACAGAAGTTGAGTATGGTGGCACACGCTTACACTTAGAGCATTGGTTGGGAGGTGGAGACAGGATAATGAGGAGCTCAAGGTCAGCCTGGTCTATATATTACATTGGGGGATTAGCCTGGGCTACATGAAAACCTATCTCAAAAACAAGACAAACAAACAAAAACCTGGGGCCATTGAAGTGGCTCCGTGGGTTAAAGTGATTGCCACTAAATTTAATGAATGGAGTTCAATCCCAGGACCCATACGGCGGCGAAAGGAAAGGATCGACTCCTGTAGGTTGTCCTCTGATCTCAAAAGTGTGCTATGGCATGCAAGGACGGACACACACACACACACACACACGCACACGCACACGCACGCACGCACACACACACACACGCACGCACGCACGCAGGCACACACACACACACACGCACACGCACACACACACACACACACGCACACACACACACGCACACGCACGCACACGCACACGCACACGCACACACACACACACACACACGCACACGCACACGCACGCACGCACACACACACACACACACACACACACTGTAATAGAGATATTTTAAAGAGAAAATGACCCAGTAGAAGAGGTAGCATTGTCCTCTTACAGTTAAGACTAAGGCTCAGAAGTGACGTGGTCGCTCCACATTCACTGTGTGGAAGGCACTCATTGTTAGCCCTGCTCACACCATGCTGGTCCCACTGTGTCTACACCAAGTTTTCCAGTTTGTACATCTGTGTCCTTTGCAGAGGGGTTTCCTGTGGCCCAGGAACTGGCTGAGTCACAGTTGGGTATCCCAAGAATGTCAGGAGCAGCCTCACCGACGGACACGGAGATGGGAGACAGATGCTTAGCTTCTTCTACCACACTATGATGGGACAGCTCAGGCAGGCACCCTGCAGTCCTCCAGCTGGTCCCCAAGGATCCAGTTACCATAGCAACCTTCCTTTTCCCCATTTTCCTTCATCTTCCCTCCCAGCACTCCAAGAGGTCACTTCCCAAATTCACCACCTGTACCCCGGCCCTCGACTCAGGGTCCACTCCGGGAGCACCAGCCTCAGGACCCACCTGTGTGACTGGTGCCAGATTGACTCTGACCTTGGGAGAGGAGAGGACATTTTCAGTCCCACAAAGCAAAACCTGGGCTCTAATCCTGGGTCTTCCTGCCAGGCCCTTGTCCCCTCAGGATAGTCTACACTCCTTTCTCTGCCTCCTGGGCAAGAGGGCTGGTGTCTGGCACCAGTGTGGCCCCAGCTGCAGGGCTTCCTCAAAGGATGCTGATGGTGCTGCAGGAGTTCAGCTTTGCATAGCAGATGTCTTCCCTTTCCCAGCCCGAGGGAGCCACAGCCATGGGGACAGCCGTGCTGCTCACCATGGTTACCAGCATCGGGCCAGACTCTTCTTCACTTTCAACAAAGGGGCATTTCTGCCAGGAGGCCTCCCAGTGCCGTGACAGGGCTATGGTACATAAAGGGCAGATTGGGGACAATAAAGGGGGGCTCTCCCCGAGGTCCTTGCAGGTCCAGGTGGGGATGTAGGGGCAGAGCAGTGGGGCCTGTCACTGGTTCAGGCAGCTCAACCTCCAGCCTGCGATGTTATTCTACACGGGGAGGTCAGCCTTCTCTCTGCCTTCCTATGCTGGGGCAGGGCGCTCAGTCACTGCTGATCAGGAGGGGACCGAACAAGGTGATGTTTTGAGAAGAGCACAAGTCTCTCCTCAAGATGTCTGCCTTCAAATCTCTGATCCTTGTTGGCTTGTGACCTTGACCTTGATTTTCCTGCCTGCCGTCTAAGTACAGTAGTATCAAAAGGAAAGGACAAATGTTCATTCCTTGAGCATAAGTCTCCTGAGTACTTTCCAGGTGCTGAGGCCCTGAAAGGAGACAGGTCCAGGACTCCTGGTTTCTCTCTTCCACAGTTTAGAACACAGTTTGGTTTTCATATTTTTCTTTTATGTCTAATTTCTGTTTATGGAAGCCAAGATTGGTTTTTTTCCTTCAGGTACTGACAGAAAGATGTCTTTTTTTTTTTTTTTTTTTTTTTTTTTTTGGGTTTTTCGAGACAGGGTTTCTCTGTGTAGCTTTGCGCCTGTCCTGGAACTCACTTGGTAGCCCAGGCTGGCCTCGAACTCACAGAGATCCGCCTGGCTCTGCCTCCCGAGTGCTGGGATTAAAGGCGTGCGCCACCACCGCCCAGCGAAAGATGTCTTTTCAAGTAAACTTTCTCCATAAGTAAGTTGATTAGAGGATAATAGTATGGCAGTTTGGCAAAACCTTCTGAGATGGGATCTGGGGGTGTAACTCAGTTGGCAGGGCACTTGATGAGCATGCGTGAGCCCCTGGGTTTGGTCTCACACAGTTTAAACCAAGTATGGTGGCAAGCTGCTGTAATCACCAGGTGGACACAGAAGAAGCAGAAGTTCAAGGCCATCCCTGGTTACGTAATGAGTTGGAAGCCAGCTTGGGCTACCTGAGACCCTGTTTCTAAAAGAAAACCCAAAAGGAAATCCTGAGGCGGACCTTTGAAACAGTGGAAGTTGGGAATCTCTGAGCTGACAGGCAGCCAGAATGGGGTGTGCCTGACCTCCACACCTCACACCTCACAGATGCTGAGTGCTCGGCCTGTGGCTCTCAGTGATCTTCAGTAACTCTTCCTGTTTTCCAGACCCTAACTGACTCTCACACCTCAAAATCACCTCCCCTGACCAACCCTACCCTGCTGACCTCTTCCCAGGCTTGCTCTGGCTAAGAGGAGCAGAAAGCTGGGAGGTAGGGTGCCAGCACATCGGGGCTTCCCCCCAAAGCAGGGTCTGGACCCTCTGCTGCCCCTGTGTGACTGAGGGCTGAAAGCCTCTGCCAGCTCCTCTGTAAGAGCCCTGATGGTGGAGAGGAGGCCGGAGCGACTTTAATCACCACGGCTGTCACGCCCTGAGCCAGCCTCCCCGCTCCTGCCTGCCCCTTGGGAGCTGAACTATTGTCACATTTTCTTAGCTCTCTCTCCAATCTCCACTTGCCCTTTCTCTGTGCTTGGCCATACATCATCCTTAAAGGTTGGCGTGAACCAGAGGGAATGAGGCAGGAGGGGTGCTTGGGGATAGCCCCAGGAAGGAGGTTTGCTTTGGCCCCAGTGCAGCTGTCTGGGGCTCCAGTGAAGAAGGGTGAGTTTGGCCAGCTGCCCACCACGTGGGGCCAGCCTCGTGTGAGGCTGGTCATCACCCAGCAGGTCACTGCTGCCACTCTGACCCGCTGCCTACTGTGCATTCTGCCCGCTTTGCTGGCTGAGGCCTCACTCTGTCCACCTTCAGACTCATGCTTAACAATGGCCCCCATGGTGGAGTGAGGCTCTGCATCCCTCCTGTACCCCAAGCAGGATTCTGAGCACTTCTGTGAATATCATCCCTTTTGCAAGATTCTTCTTGTACTCCTCGATCTTTTTTTTTTTTTTTTTTTTTTTTTTTTTCCAGCATCTCCATTAGAATTGTAACCAGAGATCACGGTGGTCCAGCCTGGCTCCGCTGCCTACCTGACCGTGCTGTCTTGGTTGTATAGCCATGTTCAAATTCTGGTCCTTGGTTCCTGACTGATCTCACTTGGGATATCCTTATCTTGAAGATCAAGAGGACAGAGGCTGAGGGGCTTCTCCACGTGTCTTTGCTGAGGCTTCCCTGATCCTGCCCAGAAGCCTTCTCTTTGGTTTTTCAGCTATGAAAGCCCCCACATTCTCCCTTCCAGCCAGCCTTCCTTTGAATGCCAGTTCTGTGTGGACTTTCTGCAGTAGTTTAAGTACAGGGAAGAGTGGGTCCCGACACTGGACAGATGTGTTAGCCCAGAATCTTCCAGGGGTGGCTGCCCTGCTTTCTTCCATCTTGGTCTCCTTGTAGGTTTACCTCTGGGCTTGGCAAGCCCAGCTTTTGTTGATGTCCCCAAGGTGCCTTGTCAGTTATTCTCAGGGGCTAAGGCATCTCTACTCACTGCTGTGGTCCAGATAGGCTGGCTGGCTTGCCTTCTTTTCCTTCCTTCCTTCCTTCCTTCCTTCCTTCCTTCCTTCCTTCCTTCCTTCCTTCCTTCCTCCCTCCCTCCCTCCCTCCCTCTCTCTCTCTCTCTCTTTCCTTCGTCATTCTTCCTTTCTTTCTTCCCCTCCCTCCCTCCCTCCCTCCCTCCCTCCCTCCCTCCCTGCCTGCCTGCCATTCTTCCTTCCATCTTTTGGTAGCACTGGGGATTGCCCCTCGGGCCTCTTGAACATGAATGAAGTTCTCTACCCCTTCTACTTCTCGATGCTTATTTAGAGAAAGGGTCTCACGAAGTTGCCCAAGCTGGACTTGAATTTGCTCTGTAGCTCAGGCTGCCCTTGAACTTTTGATCCTTCCCAGCTTAGCCTCCTGCGTAGCTGAGATCATAGACCTGTGTTGTCAGGCCCCAGCTCCTCTAGGATTTGTGAAGGCAATGAGCCAATATGTTTGGCAATCTTGCTTCCATTTTCTGAAGGGACAGGGCCACTTTCCTTCTTTGTTGCATTGGGCTGGGATTTGTTCTCACTGAAGGAAGGCCGTATTCTTGCTGAGGAAGCTTCTAGCATAGCATGCTGTCAGATCACCGTCCTGTGAGGCTCTCTGCCCACCTAGAGCTGGGCATGAGATGGACTAGACCTCGTGGACATCCATTCTCTGTTCACTTGCTCAGTCTCTATGTGTTTCTACCGACCAGTACGGCTCTAAGGTAGGGCTCTCGACTTCTCTGAACACAGGGATGCCCTTGCAGGAGTCTAACATCCTTAGGTACCAACAGTGTGAGCCCCAGCAGGAGCTTTCATCTTTCCTGAGAGCAAGTTCTGGGCTTGTAGAGGGCCAAGTAGTGTGAGTGGAGGATGTTCAAGATGGGACAGGCTTCTGATGATCACGTGTCCCAGAGTTTGTGCTCTCCCTGGCAGCCCTATGCAGGCTTGGCCTACTTTACTGGG